TTTTTTTTTTTTTTTTTTTTTTTTTTTTTTTTTTTTGTTAGTTTAATTGGATATATTTTCATTTAATATAGTATAATTCAGTTCAATTATACAACTATCTGACTGAATAAAATATTTCAGATAAAAAAAAAAAAGAATATCAAAAAATTGTTATGTTCGTTTGTTTGTATTCTTTTGGGATATTCTTCACTAGAAAAAAAATGTATCTCTATATCAAAAATTGTATTCGTTTATAAAATTTTATTATAATCATCTCAGGATCTCAGCTGAATAACGCATACATAATTTTTATTATTCGTTAAAATATTTATAGATAATAAATAACAATTTTTCTCCCACAAAAACTTATAATAATAAAAGAAATCCATTTATTTAAATTTGTTATATTATTATGAGAAACGTCTTCGACGAGTTAAAATATATTTTTTATTTTTTCTTTTTTACCCATTTAACTTTTTAAAAACCAAAAAAGAAAATTAAAAAAAAAAAAAAACAAAAAAAAAACATTTTGGCACTCTAGCTTTTCTCCGATGTAATTAGTGAAACCAACGACTTGTTTGGAATTCATTTTTCAGGTGCCTTCTTAATATAGGTTGCTGCTGGCTTGCACACGTTCTTCAAAATATTGTTTTACAAATTATTATAAACAATAATTAACGCTTTCTATTTTTTTATTATGCTTGACCGGTGAATTTAAATCAAAAAAACAAAAAAAAAAAAAACGGAAAGGATGAAAATAAACAAAGTCTTCTCCATAGCGTTTTGTGCCGATAGCAAAGCTTTTACGGTAATTTTTCATTTTTCAATTTTTCGTACTTCGTTTAAAATCCTACAAAAAAGCTCTCCTCTCTACTACAGAACATCATCTCATTTCGTATTCAAAATAATTTCGTTCAAAAGCTTCACAAAACCGACCAACAATGTTTCGTACCTGACTAATTCAATTTTATTAAAAAAAAAAAAAGCTTTAAGCTTTAAGCTTTACATCTTTTTCTTCCCATGTACGGCGAGAGACAACAATCGTTTAACGTGAAATTTGTTTTTTAATTAAAGCCTGCAACAAACGCGTCTTGGCCTTTTTCTCTTTATACTGAATGTAAGTGTCTTCAATTGTTTTGCGATCATTTTTTAACATTTTACGTCCCATTTGCTCTTCGAAGATGGTTTCGTATTCTCGTATAGTGCGCTTCAATAATTTCTTTTCTTCGCGTGTCTTTTCTAAATGTTCCCATAATTGTTCAATAGTCAAAGCGCTGATATTCTCAGATACCTCTTGCTGCTGTTGTTGTTGTTGTTGCTGCTGCTGCTGTTGCGATACAGTGTTCGTTGCGCTGGAATCATCTGAACTGGCTGTGGGCGGTGGTACCGGGTCGCTTGGTGAATTTGTCGTTTCAGTACTATTATTGGAAGAATATTGTAATGTGGTGGATTCAAAGACCATCGCTTCATGCTCGAGAATAGTGGGTAAATCAGGAGCGCCAGAGGCAGCCGTACCAGTAGATAATACACTGCGCGACACAAAACGCTTCAATTGACGATAACGATCGTAGAGCGGTCGAGCTATATCCCTTTCCTCTTTGGTTGATGGACGACCATATAATGATTCAAAATGTAATAAACAATGTTGAACAGCAGCTTTCTCTTGCACTAACTGATTTGGAGTTAAATCGTCTAATAATTCAGAACGATGAGCGGTATCACGTTTCGCGTTAAGAGTCTGCAAAAAATATTATATTTTAATTCAATTCATACGTATATAACAAGAAAGGAAGAGATTTCGATTTTTTAACAAATGTATAATTTGACGGGTTTTGTTGCACACTAACCCTAACTCTATCTTTTAGTTTAAATTTAACATTTTGCGTAACATAAATATTTTCGCAGTTTTTCACGCTTTCATTTAAGAGGGGAGCAGGTGAAGCAAAAGATTAAGATCACAACTAATACAGGTTACATAGATAATCAGGTGAAGTGTATCACGCTTTATATAATATCGAGAATGCAATGGAATCCTATAGACAAAAAAGATTAGGTACAACACAAAAGAACTTAAGACAACACGTAACATCAAATGAACGACAACTTATCATCACCCAGTCAAATAAAAAATAATTGCACGTAAACTTTGCATTTCTTGAATGCTATCAAACTGTCATCATGTGATGGAAAACTTATAACTATAGCAGAACTCAGCAAAAAGTAAAAAAAAAAAAAACAGTAAGCAATTTATGAAATAACAGAAGTAATAATAACTAAGAAAATTATATTCGGTCGCGACCGAATCCTTTATACCCATCACCGGCCGTTATTCTAGAAAAGACAAAAAAAAAAGAAAATAAATAAAGTTCCATGCATTAAAACAAAGAGTGGGCGCTGTTTCTATTTTCAAAATAAAAGTATATGTCGTATAAAGGTGTATGTGTTGTAGGCGCGTCCTTGAAAAAGTTTAAGTCAATCCCAAATTCTTTTGCAAATTTGTAGACGATGTCTTCATTTTCGCTAACAGCAGAATCGTTACCACACTTACTACACACTTGAGCAGATATACGGATGGACAGACGAACAGATAGGCACGATTAGGTGCGTTTCAAATTTAAAACTGGCCCAAAATTTATTTACTCTGTGGGGTCTTTGATGCTTGCTTCTCGGTCTTATAAAGGTACTGAATTAATAAATAAAATTTTGATACCCTATAATATTGGGTAGGCATCGTCAATTTTTGCCGTTTTTGTACAGGCCCTATAGCATCGCCCATAGAATAGGCATTCAAATTTGTGTAAATTTATCTGATATCGTTTATGATAATAATGAGCAAATCTCGAATTTTTTATCCCTTTTGAAATGGAGGTGTTCTTAATTTACACGGTGTTGTGGGCGTGTCCTTTGACCGATTTGTCTCATTTTCAATACCAACCTACGTGCAAGAACTTCCAATGTTTCTGGCAAATTTGAAGCTTCATTTGTACAATAGACTGAGGATATAAACTATGCTTTGATGGGTAGCATAGATGTGCCGAAACTCTCACAACCCAGTGGTGATCCCCGGGCAACGGCTTTTGCCGGCTAAGAAAAGTTTAAGGTTTTGGGCTGTTAACTCGGCGACGAGTTTCGGAGAGATGGTGGAGGGGTTGGTTGGAAGATGAGCTCGTCACTCTATAGCTGGTTACTACCGAGGAAATATATGAATGAATGGTTTTTAAGTACGTCGAAGGTAGTAACCTAGCGAGTGCATGGTAGATTACTCTGCCATGTCAGTGCAATACCCGAGACCTATATATCTTGAAGAAAAGTAGTTCACTGGTGTTGGTAACCAGGAGAGTATGGAGAATCCGAAGCAAGTGCGGTTCCGCCCAAAGTATGCCTAAGGCTTTGTAAAATAAACTGGGAGCCACGGGGGTCAGGAGGCTCGCCTCACAAAGCCACGTATGCCTGCGGGTGTATGATGGACTTTGTCCTTAAGTCGTAATGAATAAATTAATTATACTATTAATGCAAAAAGGAATTGACGGACGGCCTTCCCTTTGGCCGATTAATAGAAGATATCTGGCAAATTGATTTAATACATGCAAAAATGAAAAAAGGGATATGACGGAAAGGTTTTTCCCCTTTTACCTATTTTTACTTTTGAACACATGTCACGGATGCCTGCGGGTAATGGTGGTAATTGATCAACGGCGTCGTGGAAGCCTTATGGCGGAAGCGAGCGCAATTTTTACCCTTTTTGAACGCATATCGTTTATCAATTTGTGAGTCCTGACTGCTTGGGTGCGGCCCTTCGGGGAGTACTCGTGGTGGTTGTGGTTGGCGAGTTCCTAGCTAAAATGGAACAATTGAGTGCAGCTAGGCCTCGCCATTAACCAGAGTGGGGTTCATTGTTCCATACACAATAAACCGTTCTGGACTCTGGTGCTGTTTAGGCCCCTACTTTGTGGGGATTGTCTAACTCGACAGGGGGCGTAGTACGCTTAAAAGTGGCTTAGGCCACCGTGGGGTTAAGCCTTTCAGGCAGGAACCCACGTTAAACCCTTGCCACAAATTCTGTACAATAGACTTTGCACAGATGGACAGGTGGACAAACATGCTTAAATCGTTTCAGAATTTGCTGCTGATCAATAACGTACGTACTTTGCGGGATCTCTGATGCTTCCTTCTAGGAAAAATTAATATACTCATCCTTCGGCGATGGGTATAAAAAATAAACGGCAATAATTAATACACACACACACACACACACACACCCATATGTACATATATATATTTACATTATTTCATAGTTATCGAATAACGGAAGGCTTACGAATCTTAACACAATTATTATGATGTACACCGAACAGGAAAAAACGTTAATAACATTCTCTTCTTATCTTTCGTCCCGCTAAAGTTTATGATCACCGCTTAAAAGTTACAGTAAATTTGCTAACACTGCCTTTCAATTAAATTCATTTTTCAAGAAAATTTCTTTCTTAATCGGTTAGGAGCCTTTATGAGCCATGCATAGAATAAACACTCAGGCATAAAACAAAGAAAAATCCTACGCACGCATATTATGCTTCCGGACTATAAATTATACAAATTCAATTTATTAATCGCTAGTAAGCCAAATATGCCCTTCTTTACGTATATATGTATAAATAATGTATTGTGACAAGTAAAGCTTCAGGTTCGTTTTAGTCCCACACTTAGGTTAAGTTGTTGTTTTTTTGCCTAAGGTAATGTTGTTATATCATAGTTTGAAATTGGTTCTTTTTTCACCATAGATTCGAAGAGTTATTCGTTATAGTTTCTTTTACCTCACAGAGTCACAGTTACCCTTTTATAAATGAGAATAGAGATGGTAAGATGGCTAGAAACCAAATGAGTTATCACATTCGAAAGCATATCATGTGTCGATTGGACAAATCGATGGTGACAGACACAGGCTTCGAGAAAACGAGAAGAGCATTTCCTCCTTCTTCTTTCCATGCTGAACACTTTGTAAGTTTTTGATCTGATGTAAACCAATGGATTTGTGAACACAGGAAGCCGTAGACTGAGTACTAACTAATCATAACGTTAGACTGTAGAGACGAACCGTCTGGCCATAATTAAATTAGGATAGATGGTGGAATTTTTCCTTTTGTCTTACATAATATTGCAGGGACCGCTTGAGCCATAATGGGCTTACGTGAAAGTTAAATAGGTCCCAATAATTAGTTCATAGCAATTTTTTTTGATTGTATTTCGTTTGGAATACCGCACACTGAAGTATTATGCACTTACTGGCCTATTAAATTGGAAACGGATGGCGTCAGGGTACGTTTTGTAGATGAAGTCGGACATCTGGACAGAACCGGCAAGGTAACCCTTGGAAAATAAGCAAAAATCCAACATTTCCGCAAGGGAATTTTTCGTAGTCTTCACAGTATGTACCACTTGTTTAGTTACTTATTGTTATATTTATTATGCTTTGTACACGTACATTTTTGGTGTGTACATGTGTGTGTGCAGGAGACTTATAAGTAAGTAAAAACAAAACATATTTTTGGCCAAAATTCAGCTCAAGGAAAAAAACCATTAAAGAAATGCTTTGGTTAATTTTTTTTTTTTTTTTTTTTTTTTTTCTTAAAAATAAGTCGAATCAGAAATTTTTCTTATCCTTCGAATATATTATGCAGTTTTTTCGTCTTTTTTACGCAATTGTATCGCTTACAACGAGTGAAATGAAACGTTTTCGTCTATTCCCGTATATCAACGCCTATCAATAGATGAACAGATATGTTTAACAGAAATAAGTCATTTCCAGTAACAATATTTATCTAATAAGGCCCATAAGTGGAGCTACAACCTATTTATTTTATGTAGTCCCATGGAATAAGCATTCGAAGTATATTCCGGGCAAGAAGACAAGTGAAACAGAGTTGAGAATTACCAATAATGTCTTCTGACGATCACTCAGAGTAATACACAGAATGAGAAGTCATATAGGGTTCTTTGACAGGTTTTATACGTCATTGCTCTTCCCATACTATTTAACGAAACAAGGAATCCACCAATAATGTCGTCTTACAATTAGCCAGAGTCCTACACCAAATATGGAGTTACATTGGATTCTTCGATAGCTTTTACACGTTGTTGTTCTTCCCGTAATATTTAACGAAACAAGGAATCTATTGTGTCGGAACGGCATAACAGAATAGATTGCTTAAATGTAGACTCGAGGACAAGAAGGATCTAATAAAGACGGCGATCGCTAGGGAAGCTTATGAAGGAAGAATTTCTCCTCATAATGGTGTTGATTTTTCAGCGACGGTGCGGAACAAGGCTATTACTATGTTGTCTACTTATATTGGCTCGCAACCCGTTGTACACAATATCTGTCCATATGAAAAGGAACATGGGAAGAGTGGACTTGATAGTTCTTTCCTACATCGTTATCGCATAATTCTTAAAGTACACAGAATATATCTCCGCCTATTCTATCATCTATTGGACTTTGCCGTAATTTGTTCTTGGCTGCTTATGAGAAAAAAAGTCAGTTGCAAAGGACATACCAAAAAAATAATTACCAAATCTTAGTCAGTTTCGCAATGATTTGGTTGATGCTTTTCCTAATATGGAAATATAACAAAGTTTATAGGCGAAAGAACCTAGATTCCACTATGAAAGGGTGTTGGGCAAAAAGCCCAGAAACCCGAGATATTCCCAATTTACTGCGGGTGTGTCATTTTACTGTTTTTATCCATGTCCACTAACAATTTGCGTGAACCGACTTCGAATATTTTGGAAGAACGCACAGATAAAAATATCTCGAGAGTTTCACAATTTGATCCTGATCAAATTATATGTAGAATTTAAAGAACATCTGAAGCTTCCTGTTGTAGCGTTCTGAAACCATCCTCCTTCGATGATGGGTACAAAAAGTAATTACTTATACAACTCACCTGATCGATTTCCCTCAGAGTTACTTTCATTTTCTCCAGTTTCTGTTGTGCTTCTTGACTATTACTTTGAGATTTCAAGCCCAAAGCTGCCATTGGATCATCTTTCAGTTCATGACGTTCTTTACGCAGTTTACTCAATTCTGACAAAATATTTTTCATGTATTTATCGTTTAAACGATCTGCCTGCGACGGCCGGTAACCCATACGGTTCTCATAGGCCTCCTCCAATTGAGAGAGTTTCTTTTTCAAAGCTGTTAACCGTTTATTGATTTGCTTAAGGCGTTCTTCGGGCGATTGGAAAGACATAACTGATGGTATAACTTGCATGAGTTCACGTGTACGTACGTTTTCTAGAGAGGTTAGTGTACGGAAGGTATTAAGGGACTCCAACCGGTTATCTTCATCAATGGCATTGGACAACGATTGAGCAGTAATCGCTTGTTTCGGTATCTGTGGTGGAAATGGTTTCACTTTTGAGAGCAGAGCAGCGGTATCGATACTGTCATCTAGTTGAAGGTGCACGGTGGCGTAACGTCGACTTAAAACAGGGGTCTGATCTTCGGGCACAGAACGATCCCATGGCAGTGCTTCTTGGGCTGATGTGGTTAACGGTATACTATTGAAACTATTTTGGCTGCTATTTTTAGTAGATATCTTTTGCTGTTGTTGGTTAACATTGGTCTGATTATCGATCTCTTCATTAGAACTTCCCAAATGTACATTGAGAGCTTTTGCTTTTTTGCCGAAATCTATTAAATTATTGTCGTTGTGGTCGTTGGTGTTGCCGTTGCTGTTACTATTTTTTTCAATGCAGTTGGCTTTCTTGCTAATGAAACCGCGACGTTCGTATTTTAGCGTTGACAAATCGTATTTATAAACATTTTCATCGTTTAACTTTGAAGGTAAATATCGGATGGAATTGCAGGCGCTAGAACTTTTTTTGGTCACCCCAGAAGCTTTGCGACCCGGCGGAGCTCGGCTCTTACAGAACCGTTCGGTGCTTCGTCGACGCTCATGTTCGCATTCGCTATCATCACTATCACGATATTTTCCATTGCCGTTCCCATTATTGTACGCTACCCGTATTGGTGACAATCTATGAGAACGTGCCGGGCTAGTTTCAAAACGTGAACGTCGTGACATATCCTTGATCGGTACGCCCACCGTCCAACTAAGCATCTGACGATTGGCCAGAGAACCGTCATTTTCATCAGCTGTTAGGATCTGAGTGCTGTCATTGTCGTCCTTTAGCTCTCGTTCATAGACATCAAAAGGCGTACGTTTAAAGTCCTCGGATGACACGCGCCTTATGTTGTCTACATTTTTAATGGCTTTCAAAGCGTTATTGCTAATATCCGAAGGAGCACTCGCTGCACTGTTCGTTGTTATTAACAGTTTATTGTTGTTGTCCTGCGCAGGTGGCAGTAATTCCTCACTGTTGGAACGTTGCAATTTGCGATCTTGTATGGATGAGGATGTACTATCAAGGCGTTCTTTGCGCTTTCGCGATTTTTGCCATTCTAACGGATTGATGATCTCCGGCAGATATGTAGAATTAAAACGTATTTGCTGTTCTTGTTGGTTTTGGGTACTAGTGGTGATATTTGAGTTAGTGCTTGACTCTGAGTTCTTGTTGTTATGTAACTGTTCCGTTAAAATTTGGTCGTTTTGATCAGTGATATTTCCGTGTTGTGGATGATGATGTTTTTCATATGAATTTTGTTTTTCCTGTAGATCGAGTGTTTGTTGTTGCTGTGACTCATTGCATTCAGGCGTATTAGCACCCGACGTGGCGGGCGATGATGACGAGGAAGACGTCGGCGATGATGATGGCGATGATGACGCGGAATTTTTGCTACAGCAGGATGCGGATGATGATGATGATGAACCAGTTAGACGACTCAAGTCGTCTTCGCTTAGTCCAGTGTTAGGATGGCGCATGCCGCACTAGAAAACCACAAAATATAAAAGAAGAGCAAAAAGTAAAAAAAAAGATTTGACTTTAAACGAAATTGCAAGCCATTCTCATAGTAAACTGTAATCTAGTATTTTGTTAACAAGAGCGGTAAGATTAGTTTTCAAAAAACAAAAAATAAACTAATTAAAATAAGCAAAAATATGTTTTCTCTAAAGTTTATTCCGTACAATTATTATAATTAAAAATAAAACATCACTTAAATGGCCATCGCGGGTCCTTGGACAGACCGAACCCGATGAATGCAATTTCAAGCAATTTGCCTCCAAATTTGATCTAATTTCACCAACGATGTTTTCAACAAATGCTTTTAACGCATAAATAAAGTCTGATTTATTTCCGTCTTTAACTAATCTCCCAAGAACTGGTACAAAGATGTCAAATCGGACCTCTTTCGAGCCCATTCGATAAGAGGGTCTGTAAGTGTTATGGTACGGCCTTGTATGGCTTTGACAGAATCATATATTGCTCAAATCAATATTTTCACCTACAGGCGTTTACAAATCAGTTAACATCGATCCTATAATGTTCTTCACTTACGGTAGCAAGACTTCCATTCTTGTTTTCAAAGAATTAAAAAGACGTTAATAACGCCGATAATAATCGCGCCAAATCACCACGTTCGCATAAATATGTCTTGCGAATAATCCGTGGGTTGGTTTCATATCAAAAACGCAATATCCAATACTCATTGGTGTGGCGACGTGAGCATAAGCTCCATTTTCTCGAATGATTTGTTCTTTCTGTTATCTTCCCAGCGTTTATAAACATATCTGGACTCTCCAACGTAGTTTAGGCTCCTAGCTTATAGGGATTGTCTAACTCTCTAAAGGGAGCCGGTTACGCTAAATGAACCCGGGTGTCATCAAGTACTGTGGGGTTAAACCGACAAGGTATGTACCCACGTTAAACCAGCAAAGACATCTGTTATCTTCCCTACCGAAGCGTTAGGAACACTACTAAAGTGATGGTTAATTTTACTTCCACCGCACCCACTAAACTTAACGTCAAACATTGGCACATTTTTGAGATTAATGTGACGCATACGGAGTCTATATTAGGGGAACAGCTTCCGCGGTGCATCTTGGGAATTTTCTGAATGCACTTTTGGATGAGCAGGTAGACCATATAACTAAACATGTCTTGCTCCTTGAGAAAGTGTACTTAAAAAGACTAAGGAAGACGGCTGAAGAGATTGAAGATTTTGTTCCTCGCGACCGGAACGACACTTGGGTGTCAGGTGGTGCTATTAGAAGCAAGGAGTCCACAGAATGATACTATGTCTTCTAATATTGGACTGATCCCTTCTGCGCCTTCGTTGAAGGAACATGAATGGGGTAAGCGGTCTCGAATGTTAGGTGTAAAAGAACACCGGATTCAGACAGATTACCGGCGAAATGTTTACAGCCATCTGAAAGTTTATTTCAGAATATCTCTGTGCGATCTATTTTGGATGTCTGCGGGAGCGTTCCTTTCCATTACCGTGAAAAGCAGACAAGGCCATAATTCTTCCGAAGCCGACTGATAAGGTGAGGAATAATTCGTTGCCTTATCGGGGCATGCATCTTCCTTCAGTGCTTGTCAGAATGCTGAAGCAGAGGGGGATGATAGAAGGATTTTAGAGTATTTCTGATCCCAGTCGGTCCGGTAGATAGTTCGGTGGATATTTCTCTCATTGTTATATGATAGAAGTTGCTCAGAGGAATTCGTTTGTGGACCTTTCATATGGCCGGAGTATTGAGGCAACTAGAGGGCATTTGTACAGAAGACCAGGATACAACCAACTTCTCCAGGATCTCGTCCAGTTGATATTCAATATTTAAAGTGGATGAGTTTGGTCCTAGTCACAAGGCCAGCTACTTAGAAATTAGCTTGAATAAAAAGGGCAAGTTTATTCGTCACCTGGAAAGTGTAAGAGTAAATTTTTGAATGTGGTAGAGCTGGCTGGTCGTGTCTTACATGTTGAATGATGCCTGAGCCGTGCCGACATATAGAAGACTCGTAAGACATCAGGATGTCACGTTTGCCGATGAAGGGAATGATATGTTAAGGTGTCAGCACAAAATGTTACTGGGTGATTGATGGGTGGGGCTAGACCTCGAAATATTTATCAATATCATCTAAGTCGGTTTAAGAATATTCGTCTTGAGTTGAACTTGGGCTGTTTCTGTAAATTAAAGCAAATCTTCAATATTATATTAATAGCGCCTATGGAATAAACAGTGGTCTCTCTTTACTTGACGTGCTAAGGAATGAAGAATAGAGAGGTCCAATATTATGGAGCGTCAATCGCTCTTAAAAGAACATGTACGTGCCGAATGGAAATCTCGTTGAGAAAATAATATGACTGCAACAGTAACTTTTAACTTTATCCGTAATTTGTGGGGAAACACTCAAGTTTTGGTTCCATTAAACGAAAGTTATAAGGATATAACTCGCTCGCCGCAGTGAAACTACCCATGCATAGTATAGATAGTCTACAAAATGCTCATGTGCTTCGCTCGTTATTGTTGGCAGATGGATGCATGCGTTGAATAATGTCACAAAGCGAAACCTTAAGCCACCACCATTATCTACTTCTATATAGATAATGAGGTAGCGCCACAAGGCGCAGCAGTTCTGTTGGCCAAAAAAGAAAACGAACAACTGCACACTACTCTGCGCTAGAAAGAAGATCCAAATGCTGTCGTGGTTTACTTCCGAAATACCTTAACACATGTATGTGAGGCTGAAACATCAAAAGACTGGTAAACAAATTGAGCCTTACAAAAGCGCGAGAAAGTTCTCTAGAATAGTAATAAAAACCGGTAAACTGGGCTATTGGAAAGAATTGTAAGTGACTTCCACAGCACAAAAAAGCAAGGACGCAAAGAATCCTGCGCTATCATCACGTTGCACGTGGTTAAAACGATAGGCAGCTACGCAAACGACGATATAAGAAGTCAAAAAGAAAAATTGATAGGTTATGCGGATGGCACTGCCCGGATTGTGCAGGATCGGGAGCATTGGAAGCTCTTGCAGGCAGGTAGATATTTAAAATGAGCCAACGAACACACCCTCAGGAAGGAAAAAACTGAAAGCAAACTTCTTTGGCTCATTGCTCACAAATTATAAGAGGTTGAACACTGAAGTTGTTATGAAGGACTCTGTTATGCTTTATCAAAAACGGAGAAAATAGTCTACGCCCATACAAAGTTATGAGTGATCAAGTATTCATTTGTTCAATTTTTGAATGTTTTCGTATATTACTCGTTACGTAAACAAAAACGAATGCTAAAAAAAAGAGATATAAGGGAAGGTGTGAATACATAAAATTCGGCCCACGCTGAATATAACATTCTTGCTTGTTAAATCGCTTCATAATCATCAAATTGGAAATGTTAGAGCCGTATAAAAAGCGATAAATTGCACGAAGAAAGAAGGAACAAACCGAGAACGGAGGAATAAACTTGCGGTGTACGCTTATCAACGATTCAGATTACAAAGATCTAACCTCTAAAAAAAAAAACTGCAAACTATAAACAAGAAGGCAGGCAGATTGCGCAACCATTGCGAAAAAAAAATTCGTAACAATTTCGATAAGACATTTTTGGACCATGCATAAAGGTGGCTCTGGCGACCATTTGAATAAGACCGTTTTGGAAATATTTTCATGGGACCGAAATCTATACACGAAATCGCGGTTGTGTCAGTTTTATCCATAACATGCCCGGGCATATGTGCCTATCACGCCTATCCTCTAACATCATATTCTTAATTAATCAACGAATTTTTGTGGCAACTTTCAGCTCCTTATCTTCATTTTTCGACGATTTCATTCAAAATGATCGGTATTACGAAAACCAGATAAGGTAAAGAGAAACTATTGAAAGGTCTTTCAATGTTAATAAAAGACACCAAAAAATTCAGGAAATTCACATGCCTTATAATCATTTTTTTTTTTAAGTTCAAAAGTTCCAAAAACGCATATTTTCCTATGCGGCAATTGTCGTTTTAAAGGAGATAAACACAAAGTATATAAACGTCTGGCGCATGAATCATAGACATTATTTAACGTCGTTTGATATCTCAATAAAATAATTTAAATAAATAAAAATATAAAATAATTTAAAATCTCTACAGGCGAACCTTACATGCTGTAATTAGCTCTTATATAAATAAATTAATAAAAACAATTTTATGAAAAAGAAGGGCTATATATGTTCTGCATTTATTTCCCGCATTCGTCAATATATGTTTATTAAGACTTATTTAGGTTCTCGAGTTTTTTTTCTAATTTTTATATTTTTTTACTTAGTACGAAAAGAATCGCCCTCATCTTAGGGCATCTGATTTAAAAAATACTACGAAAACAATTGCTTTTAGCGTTTTATTTAAATTTTTGGTGACTTTATATAACAAAAGCAACAAACATGACTAGGAGCTATATCCCATACGTGTAAATACAAAAAGATGTAACCATTATTTTAAAGGAATGTTTGTAGATCTATCCAAATATATTTTATCATCATTTCATCATTCCGTTCAATTATAAAAGTAGAAAAATACAAACACCTACAAACACCATCGTACTCTTCGCATTACATTGCTATATTTTGCCTATGAGCGATCAAATCACGTATTTGTAACGTAACGAATAGCCAAAATAGGTAGTGTGGGTAAAAGCCAAAAACAGCTGCACCCTTTTTTGTCGCTAATTCTTTATTTTCCGTCACGAGCATATGCAAACGACTTTTTTCAAAAATTAAAGCAAAGACGAACCAAAATTGTTAATGTTTTGAAAACAAGCAAATTAATAAAAATGTATTCATACCAGGAAATATGTAATTATCCGCGGTGCCATATATACGTATACTTCCTTTGTTTTAAAATATTGCTAATTTATATAAAATGAATTTTTAATAATTCCAGTTTTTTTTTTTTTGTTTTTCTTTTTTCTCTTTTTTTGGGATGTTGCTTTTTGCACACACACACACACGCACAACACTTTATGAAAATTTCATTTGCTTTATAATGTAACAAACAAATAGTCTTGATTTGTTGTTGTTGTTTCGTTTAATATTTAATTTATCAGATTTTTAATTTTTAAAGTAATGCAACATTTCTCTCTTTTTTTCGTTGTTGGAAGAAAAATATAATTAATTTTTTTCTATTTATTTAACTCTTGATTACTTCGAATTGCTTGCATTGCACACTTTACAAAATCAAAATCGCAAATAAGTAAATTTTCTACACACCAAGGCAAAATATATGTAGTAAACGAAAGTACACAATACGGGCAGTCGTCTGCCGTCTGCAAGTGCAAATGAATAAATAACCAACACAATTGATACACAAAATAAAAGTGATAACAACATCAGCAACCAAAAAGATTCAAGGTATTTTACAATGTTCTTACTCTTACTCTTAATTATACGCTCAACTCGGAACTCATAACAGAGAGCTCAATTATAAAAGAGAGACGTCAATCAACACTTGTATTTAAGTGAAAATGTAAATAATTTTTCAACGACACTAACATAAACGTTAAGCAGAAAATATGATCGAAATATGAATATATCGCATTTTTTTATTACGATTAACTAAGGCAAACAAAAAGATTTATGTCACCTATTACTACTACTATTAGTACTACTATTGTTACTACTACTAGCACATTACTACTACGGCTGCTATTACTACAAAGCCGAAGATAAGGAGAACGAGAATTGAGAACTATCTAGAAGAAATCTTTATTGCCAAGAGCACGCAATGTTTATTCTCTTAGTTAAAATAACAGTGGATTTTGTAATTGCTTCTCTTTTCATTCTGTAAAATACCGGTGTATTCATAAACGTGAAAGTTCTCCTGCGTGAGTTTTTTCAAATATCCACTGCAAACGAATACTTTTTATAACATCATTGCTAAAAGCAACATGTTCTCTAGAAGATGAAATTGAGTTTTGTCTTTTTCAAGATAAGCTCACTGTTTAAGTAAATCCAAGATTGATGAACATCTACTTGCTCATTTGCGTCCATTTTTAATAAATACGGGAAGACTATTGAAATGAGGAATAGAACTGCAAATCAAACACCATTAAACAGTATGACAGCAGAAGTTTCCTTAAACTTTTGCTATAGCCTTTACTCTGCAGTTGAAAATTCACTTGTATCGATGCATCGAAGCTTTGTTCATAGTTTTGAGATGTTCAAAACGTTTATGCATTTGGAGCGGAATGCATTCAATCTTTTGTCAAGTTTAGTTTCTGAGTACCCAATAAAACAGTAAAAACATCATATTTATACCCATAACCGAATGATGTGAGATATATTCACGTTGTCAAAACATTTGCAACGCACAGATTGCTCTGAGGGGTTTAACGTCTGCACCTGACTTGATGCCTTAATCAGACGAGTTGCCTACAACCATAGGCACTCAATTAAGTTAAGTGATCACCCCTCAGGGCAAGAGACAATCCGCTAATAAGGGGGCCTCTCTTACGCTGAGGTTCGCAGATAGTTCATTGTGTATGGCCATATGAACCACCACTCTGGTAGGTGGTGAGGCCTATCATCACCTCGAAATTATTCCGATGGTTATGGAATGGTGAAAACCACAGCCACCACGATACTCCCCAAAGGGCCGTACCCAAGCAGTCAGGGCTCGCAAGGATTGACTGATGTACTTTCCAGCACACTTTCTTGGTACATCACATCAACCCCCGCGGGCGGGCTCCTGACCCCAATGGTGCTTAAAATTTGTCTACAAAACCGTTAGCCTTACTTTGCGCTTTGTACTACTAAGTAATACATCACTCTTGCTTTTGGACTCAACCATACAGTCCCGGTTAGCCAATTCCGGACTACCTTTCTTCAAGATATATAGTCATCGGGCGTATCATCCGACATGACCAGATTTCCATGCTCTCACTAATTACTATATCGTAGTACTTATGCAAACCAGCTACCATTGAGTGTGGTTAGCTTTTCCTTTATAGTAATAGCTTGTGAGAAGATACATAAAACTATATCCCGGTGAACCCCTAAAACCATCTATCAGAAAACTCGTCGCCATGTTATAATAGTCCAATGCCTTAAACTCTTCTTCGCAGGTCGAACCGTTTCCGGGGATCACCACTTGGAGGTGACAATTTCGGAACTTCTATGCAAAGCATAGTTTATCTCTTATTTGCAACGCACAAAAAGAAGCATAACAGATTCCACAAAGCACACACATTCTTGATCAGCATCAAAATCTAAATCAATTTAAGCATCTCCGTCTGCCCGCCTCTGTATTGGCAGAAATATTGTAGGTACCTAGTATGCAGGTCAGTATTGAAAATGGACCTAATCAGTCGACGAATGCGTCATAAACTGAGAGTCGAAAAAAATTAAAAATTGTTTTTTTTCTTATTACTTATAAATTAAAGCAGATAAATGTATATAAATTTGAACATATATTCTATGGACGATACTGTGCACCTGTACAAAAATTGAAAAAATTGACCACGCGTATCCAATATAGTGCATCAAAATTTAATTTATTTTTCAATTACCTTATAAGAGGCAGAAACAAGCGTCAAAAAGCCCCATAAAGTATATAAATTTTTCGCCACTTTCAAATTCGGAATGTACCTAAACATGTCCACATGTTCGTCTGTCCAACCGCAAAAATTTGCAAAAACATTTGAAACTGACTTAAACTTTTCCCAAGGAGATGGCTGCTGTGCTCCCAAGTCTATGCGACAAAAACTTTTTTTTTGAAAATAGAAAAGAACATCCGCGCCCAGTCTGTAGCATAGAGCATGAAAATTTGGTTCTTCTACTTTTATCTATTTTAGAATAACGGTGGTGGATATAAAACGACTGATCTGGTATTAACACTATTTGATAAATTTGAAAAACGGACTTTCAGCCAACTTTGAGAAAAAAAAATATGAAACAATTGTAATGCCTGATAAGAGTGATGATACAAATTAAATTTGTGTCGGTAAAAAGCTGAACCATTCTACTCTATTACATTCTACTATCTCTCAGGAAGCCTCATTTTGCACTCTTTCCAAAATTGCTGAGACTTACTTGCAAACTTGGAGATGCGTTTTTATTTCGCTTTCGGAGTTGCGACATTTATCGCGGAGAGAATTTTTAAACGAGAGAAAGAAATAATAGAGATGTGGGGAGTACAAAGCACGAGGTGGAGCGTTCCAATCAAACTGTATCTTCCTTACGCGGTTCATAGAGTCGGTCCCCATCAGTTGGTGTGGAACTCAAATTCCATATCGATTCACATATCCCATCTTGCTTAAGGGATTATGTATCGTTGCCCGGGCAATGCTATTGGCATTCACTATCTCGTGGATTTTCAGCGGGCATACTCTTGATGCGATGCGTATCCGACGGCCAATGCGGTCTTCAACTTTCAAATCAAAATTGCTAGATCCAAATTTCTTAAACTAGCTGCGGACGGTCGTAATAATCGTGGTACCACTCCTATAAACGGCGCAAATCTCGTCTGCAAAGTCTTTTACACTACTACCTTTCCTAAAGCCATGTGGCATAACATGTCGCAAATGCTCCGTTGGCCTTGGAGACATTATCGCCCATGAATCGCACTTTAAAAGAGCTTTGAGATGACTGAAATCCGTGCCATAAACAAACAAAAGGTAAGCCTTAAGGTTATACATAGCATGGCGGAGAAAAAACTTATGGGATATACTTACGTATTTGGAACGAAATTTCGGTTATCGTAATATTTTAAATTTTATGGCTTGGTTTCGATACAACAGTGCACACATTGCTTTGTTTTATATTATTTCAAAGTTTCGTGGAACACAGTTTCGATGCGCTTTAAAACCATGGCATAGAGGAGCGTATCACTTTCCTTATTTACATCAAACTATATAGCGGTTTTTACCATGGCTAACTTTAAAACTATGTATATTTTTGATATCTCCTTTGCTTTATAAAATTGCTCCGCATAATATCGGAAGAAAGTTAAAACAATGAACTGTTACCAACTACTTATGGGGTAACAATAATTTAATTTATTAGTGGTGATAATCCTTTAGTTCACTTTTATTTTTACAGTCACCTAATAAAGTAATAATTCTTTGTATTGTCATATGGGTTTTATTAGTACTGTGTGATAAGGTAATGAAAGGAAAATTTCACGAAAGAATTTTTTCGATAATACGCTTA